TTGGTTCTTTGAAAGAAGATTTAAATGATGAAACAATGCACGATCAAAATTTCCGCTATATATATATATATATATATGCACTGGCAAATTATCTAATCTATTCTAAATTGAGTCCTCCTTTCAGCAGATCTCAACTGACGTTTAAGGCGGATAAGGTCCATGATATTCCATCGGTTCATACTTCGAAATTGATCGTTATATCAGTTACAAATATAACTACGATAATGAATTAATTCTGATCAGTAGACAGTGGTATAAATCAGCATTTTATAAGCCATCATTCTTCGGTTCACATGAATAGCATAAATAGAATGTTGACCCAATCAGTAATTTTATCGAATCACATAGCCCTTTAAACGATTAATGCAATAGAAACATTTGAATGAACAATATTTGCGAACTTGGTACATTTTTATCCATAAAAAAAATCTATTGAGCTTTTGAGAAAGTTAATAATCAGTAACAAATTTGAGTGTAGATAGTAATAAACTATGGATGTTTACAAGTAAGTATACATTGAAATACTATCATTCTCTTAGGTCGTTCAAGGTCATATTAAACAGCCTAAAGGGCATTTTATTTTCTCAAACCCAGTATGTAGTTCGAATCAGTGCCCAAATAAGTGATCTTTGGAAGCACGAACAGCTTAAGCATTTTTGTTTTAATTCATTTTGATGGAAAAACATATTTTCACTTTACATACTACTTATTTTACATTAATAAAGGTTAGTAATGTAATTCATGTAATTCACCAATCATAGGTTAATAAGAGATATGAGACACCCAAAATAGAATAGTTCTAACCAATCTCAAATTATCAAATGTTGGCAATTTCTTTGAATTAAATTGTGCTATTTAGTATATTATTGTATTTAGTTTCTTTGCTTTTCTGACTAGAAGTAAATTATGATTGAAAATGAGACGAAACGGAGTTATCTGTGGTTTAAACAGACTATTCATAGGAATATTATAATAATTATTTGGCTAAAGTCAAATGAGTTCTCTTTTACAATGAACCATACTTCGCGATAGTTTAGGATGATGTTTACCTCTATGAGGGAAAAACGACAATGTTTTCAACATTGTGCAGAAAACATTCTTATTATAACGGTGAGTTATTAAATTTTACTAAAGAAAACGTTAGATTTATGTTTAGAGTTAATAAACGCTCATATGGAAAGTTTTTTTGTCAATTTTGAATGAATCGATGCTTGTCGAGCGAATTGGACTCTAGTCAATCTATGTCACCCTGTGTCAATTAACCATTAAGCAAGATGGATCACAATGTGGTATCATTTCTCCCTATAAACTTGTCTCATGAAATTCGATGATTACCGAAGCTTAGACACAATGAAATTATTTTTGATTGAGATTATGAATCGGTTGGTGTTAGACCACCATTGAAAGCCTGGAAGTACTGGATGGCTGTTTCATCCTATTGGTAATTACCATATGTTCACTAGTGACTAGCTTCGTGAGAGAATTCTCGGAGTTCTGATGAGAAGCCGTGACCAATGTCGGGTAGAGACAAGTATCTACCTCAGTAGGATCGAAGATGGTCGCGCGATTTCGTGGACTGGTTGAGGTAAGACATTACCGAGGTTGAATGCCGGCTCAATGGTCTATAAGTTAAGCCTTCGCGCATGAGACCAAAGGCCCTGAGTTCGAGTCCCGATGGGTGGGATCGTGGATGTGCACCTCTGAAGAGTCCCACAATAGGACGAAACGGCCGTCCAGTGTTTCCAGGTTTTCAATGATGGTCTAATATCAATCAGTTCATGATCTCAATCAAAAACTTAATAATCTCCGCAACCCTATACTGACAATGAAATTAGTCGTTATTCATTCGGCTAAATAGTCATTATCATTCAATTTTTTTCTACCAGACAAATTATGATAGCTGATAAAACTCGAAACAAATCTTGGGGATCCTAAAAAAGTGTCAGTGAACAGAAAATAATTTTTATTTACACTAAAGCAATGACTTACATTAAGTCACCAAACGTCAGAAATACAATTTTCTACTCATTGGGATATGACAAGTTGTATATTTATTAAAAAAACAATAAATGTCAGTACATTGATGATGAGTAAAAGTATGAAACTGTCGTTTCTTACTTTGAGGATAATGAAAAATTTAGCTAATTTTATTAATATTTATTTTCAACGTAACTATTTAATGGGAAGTGATATCAACTAGAGTTGTTAAACATGATGAGATACTGGATAGCTTTCTTCCCATAGTTTAGGATTCTTCACCATTTAGGATAAATGACCTCATTCTGGACATTTATGTTTTGCAGCAAGGACTGTGTCTTTAGGACACTGAGCCGGAATCCAGTGCTTCAATCAATTCGTATCACTGTAAAACAGTTATCGGTAGACAACACTTGCCTAACGTATGAAACGGTTGAACACCACAAATTATGGTTTTTCTCCAGAACTTAAGAACTACCTTTTGAATTTAATCATAAGTGAGAAAATGATTGATATTAGTGTAAGGGTTTTAGTGTAGGTTGTTCAATATGTTGTTTACTTCATACAATGATCTCATTTGAACCTACTGAAAACCAGGAAACTGGTAAACACCTACAATCTGATCACCAACGCCTCTTATGACATCAAGTTCACGTCGGAACAGGAGTCAAACAACAAACTACCGTTCTTGGATGTTTTAATTACCAAGACTGACACAGGAAAATTGGAGACTCAAGTGTTTCGGAAGCCTACTTACACAGATAGAATTCTTAATTGCAGTAGGAACAGAATTAACTGCGTACAAACTTTGTTCAAGAAGGCGAAGACACCTGCAAAACACTTGCAGCGGGGAAAAGTGATGGAAAATATCTAAAGACTATCTTTAAAAAGAACGGCTACCCAATCAACAGCGAAAAAATACCAACCAAACGAGTCGGCAGAAACAAAATGAAGTACAGAAACCAACAAACAGATCACCCTACCATATGTAAAAGGCGATATCGGAAATTACAGAGAAATTGTTGAAGCCGTTTGGAATACATATAGCATACCAACCAGAAAAATCACTTCAGTCGACCCTATGCGAACCAAAGGACAAAACAGCAAGAGAAGAGAAACTGAACTTCATTTAGAAAATAAATTGTTCCACCTAAGAAAAACAGTAAATCGGACAAAGCGGACTCTCTCTTCATCTTTGTCTGCACGAACATCACAAGGTACGCCCTGAAATGGAGTCCTCAAGACAAAATCAAAAGAGGTAGACCAAAGAACACGTGGAACCAATGATTGAAGGTAGATGTAACATTTAACTGTTAATCACTGCAAATAAAATATAATAATCAATATATTCAGATGTAGCTTAGATCTACTTTTGGTTTTTAGTAAATTTTCGTCTCGCAGCTATGCCCTCTCCTTCGCATCGAGTAATATCAGTTTTCGTTCAGTTAAAACAAATTAAAATTACTAAACGAAAAACATAAAAATGCTGTAATTAAAAGCTATATTTTTAGTAATGGCTAACAGTAGAAACAAGGATGTGTATTACATTTTATTTGAAACTTTTCCATAGCAAGACTATAATTTATGAAAGAACCGATCAAATATAAAATAACAAGTCTTGGATTTTGGCGTGAAATTCATTCATACATCTGGTTAAATAACTTTTTAGCATTATAGATAGTGTCAGTTTGTTATGAAAACCATAAATCTGATTCCTAACCATAACTATCGACTGTATATCATAATTCTAGTTTCTCACACCGGTTCGAAACTCTCATTTAGTGCTAGTTAGTAGGTGGACATTTTCTAGGTCACTTTGGTGTCAATCAAAGGTCGTTCATAGTGTTACCTACTAAACTAGTGAGTGATCTAAAAAAAACGAATATTTCTGCGATGTACCGTTTATATACTTCTTAATAAAGTATTTCGTCTTAAAAACGTTTAAGTTACTATTTGATGGATTAATGATAAAAATGTTGGTCTTGAAAATATTTCATAGACGTTTTGAATAATTCTTTAAATTTATAATCATTCAGCTATTCGCATTCGATGAAACATAGAAACTCACAGATTACTTAGTTAAGAATACTTGTCTTAAATGACATAAAACAAAACACAACACATCTAGTTTATTCTATTAAACATAACTGAATAACTCTATGTACTGGTACAATATGTAGTCTCAAATGGAAGAAACATTTTCTCCCAAATAGTCTTATTTTTAAAAGCGGTCTAATTTGTTCATATAAAGTTATCTAGTCAGTCGCCAGCCCGGGTAAAGGAGGAGGGTTGGGCGTGGGGTCGGCAACCTTATCCCATAGAAAACAACCTTGCTAAGAAAATACTAACCAAGTAAGCTTATTACAAATCTATTGGTCATTATGAATGTAAGCATTAATTCCTTGTAAAGAGAATATTTTCTTCAAATTATTTCACTTTATGTAAATAGATAAGGTTATTTATGAATGACTATAACACCGTAATGTATTGCAAACTCTTGTACTTGGCTTATTAATTGTTTTCCGCATGAGAACCAGTGATACTAACCTTGAATACTCAAAATGATATAATGGTGACTGAATTCAAATTGTTGATCCAACAAATCATTGTGTATTGTATGTTTGAATTTTCCCATTCGTGTTTAGGACTGCAATTGATCCGTCGCTTATTAGCATATGTACAAATCAATTTCAGTCCTAAACATCAATGCGAAGTTTCAAATGAATTTAAACTTCACTCCATTGCACAAGCTAGTAGCCCAGTAGCTAAGTGGATAATACCATAGTGATTGAAATGAATGATACTGGATTCAAGTCCAGCAATGAAGATCAACTTTGGGATGCATGTATATCCGAATAGAACGAAACGCATCTTCCAGATTCCATTTCTAGCCATCATCCATCTTTGTTTATATTAATCCATCAGTTATAAAATTCATTATTATAATCCACTAATTTACTCATTTCATTAGAAATTATAAATAATTCATATAGTTTAATAATATATAATATATAATAACATACCTAACTAGTTGTGAATCTTTAGCCTCCTCTTGTTTTTGTCTATTCATTACATCTTCAATAATTTTCCTTTCTTCTGGAGTTAAATGTGATAGATCTGGTATATTATCCATTTTATATATTATTGTTATCTATCAATCAATCAATCTATCTATCTATCTCTATGTAATATAAGAATGGGATAATTTATGAATAGATATATTTACATGTAAATGGTGAAAAATTAAGAGTAGGAATTTTCATTGCATAATCATACGAATTAATTCATGTAGTCTCCACAGATTTCATTGAAAATTCATTATATAATAGAATAATTGGCTTATAATTAATTAATAATGATATATTCATCATTATTATAACAAGTTATACATCCAAAGAATGAAATACTGATAATAGTAGTAATGATGTATAGTTATTGCTTAGATTATGTAATGAATGTACAGACTGTATATTAAATTAAAAAAAGATATCTTTGTAGAGTTTATGTGTTTTTTTGGGGTGGGGTGGTGTGGTGTTATGAGAATCGAGCTATATCCATTTGGCAAAAAAATGCTAATTAATTCCTTTGAATTTATAAACTTCTGATATTTGTTATTTATATTGATAGTTTAGGGCGTAGTTACGGGATTCTGTAATATAATCTAAGTATATTATTATTATTATAAAGGAAAAGATCACACATTTAGACGAATAGTAATGCTAATCATCGCATTTATAAACATGTTTTGATTCTCCCATTGGTTACTCTAATGGATAATTCATGCATGCGATGAATTAAAACATTTCTGTTTGGACAAAATCATTAAACTTTACTATTATCATTATTATTATTATTATAAATAATTATGATGACCTTGACAGTAATATCAATGATAATGAAAATGAATTGAATTGTATAATGTTTTAACTTATTAGATGATTAAAGAAAATATGAGACAGAACATAAACTATTGACCATAATATGAGTACAATCGATCAATTTTTTTCCTGTATTCTTCTGAAATTTTTCTGTTTTTTTTTTTTGGTTTTCTATTTTCTCTATTTTATTTATTTATTTATTTTATAATACTGTTTCTCTGAGCTCTAGATAGTTAGTTAGTTGATAAGTTGTTAGTTCTATCTATTTCGCCTACACTCAAAAGAATACGAACGCACAGAATATATATATATGAAGTGATATTACATACAAACAAATCTATTTGTTTACTCGATATGATTAGTTATTTATTACTCTTTCTCCCTCTCTCTTTCCCTCTCTCTCACACACACACACATGTTCTATTCATCCACCTACACATCGTCATATTTTACCAATGAGAAAGATGGGAAGAAAATGAACAAACAGGCATTGATAGAAATAGGGTAACATATTCTATACAAACAACAATTAGAATGTATCCAATACATATATATATATATATATATATATATATTATGTAATAATATAATAGACAAATCAATTATTCTAATCTATTCCCTTTAGTTGTATATATTTTTTTGTTTGTTTGATGAAATCGTTTTGTCATTTATTCCTTTTCTTATAAAATGTGGTGGTTATGCAGTGCATTTTTCACATGTCTTTTGTTTCCCTCATTTCGTTTCTGGGATAAAGTACAGTTTAGTTACTGACTCTTTCTAATCAATTTTTAATCAATCAATCAATCAATCAATCAATTAATCGATAAGTCTGAAAGAAACGTTTGAACAATTTATAATGATTTTATCAATTTATTCCAATCATTTAACAGATAAATATTTTGATAATAAATCACTTTTTTAGAATATGGTATGTTTCACTTGGATACGTAGTAATTAGTTTTGAGTAGGCAGTAGAATCCTCATTACTGCAATAAGTTTAAGGATATCAAAGTCTAGTTATTAACAAACAGAATGAAAGAACTTCACATTTCATCTTAAATGATATTGGCTACAAAGTTTACTGTTTGTTATGAGCACTATGAAGCTTAGCTAATATGAAATAAACTTTTTACTTTGAACTTAGATCTTACTACTGATAATATCATAAATGATCCGAATTAACATCCTGTATTCAGTCAGTCATCAGTTATAAACAATGTAGAGCCTGGAGCAAATATGTATCAGTACAAGTTAACATGATATATTAGTAAGACTAAATGAAATTCACAAGACAAACACCAAACGGGTCGTAATAATTTAGTAGTTATTGTTATGAGAATGACTAAACATTGAGAACAAAGTTAGAAAAGCACTGAGCAAGATAAGAAATACTGGGGCTTTTGTTTTATAAGGCGATCAAAAGTGTACCTGTGGCATTGTGATTGATTTTAAGTTACATCACACAACATTTTCAACCACTCACTGAGATTATCTTGCGGAAAGCATCTAAGTAGCCTAAATCTGGCAACATTTCTCTGACCGAAAATCCATAATTTCTTGGACTAACACCACCTTGGGATATGGTCTCCTATAGTATGTTTCTGAATTACTCCTACATGAGTTAAGGAAGTGCGTCGAGGTTGACTGTGTTTGGGTAGGCATCATACCACCTCAGATGATGAAGATTCACTGCTTTATTGGCTGATTTGTCACTTTTGCCCGGTAAACCATGTTTAAGTTCAACTTTATACACCCGGTCGTTCCATGATACAAGAACAATACCTTAAAGACATTTATGGTCAAAAACCTGGAGCTTACGCACGTCTCTTTTCACGGACAATGTTTTATGGAGCGAACAACTGCTCTTCCTTTGGTTGGAAGATAAATATCTTGCCTACCCCAAAAGTGATGGAAGTTGGTAAAGGCCTCATGAGCTTTCTGAATCCATATCGAGATTTCGTTCGACACCAGCCCATCAGGAGTGATGCGACTTCTAAGATAAGTGAAGTAGTTGACAAACTCAACTATTTCACTCCCGATCATTCATCAGTTGAAGCGTTGACACTGTTATTAACAATATGAGTTCTAACTACAATATTGTTCCGGTAAGTGAAATCCTCTCACATTCATGGCCATACACTTAATATTATCTCTTATTCACATAATTTTCCTATTACACTTACGTATAACTTGTTTTTTAAGTGTAATTAAGTTATGAACAATGAGAAATCATTTGATTTTTTTATTTTTTCAAAAGCTCAGATTCCTTTAACTATATCACGCTGATTGATCGTATCAACACTTCATGTGTATACTTTGAACTGAGTGTTGTTAGCCTGGATAGTAGGTTATTACTAAAACTAGTCCTAGCTACTCCTTGTAATTATCAACAAAATATAAGTGACGATCTTCAAATATCCAAATAGGCTCTCATATACTGATGTTAATTCCTTATGACTCTGTTTGATTGTTCACTACTTGAAAATAACATATCTGTCAAAAGTTGTCTGAATAGTAAATGTCAACTGAAATTTAAAAAACCCTAGATCATGGTTACATGTTAATTAATTTCAGTTACTTAATAACATACATTTTCTGAATAAATTGCATACAGTGACCAGTGGAGTTCAACAGGGTCTGTTGAGAGATAATAACTCACTGATGACAATGGTGGATGTGTCGCTCAATTTCGTGGATTAGTTGTAGTTAACTATTAACACCGTTGGATGCCGGCTCAGTGGTTTAGGGGTTAAGCGTTCGCTCGCCAGACTGATAAGTCTTCGGCTCGAACCTCTCAGGACGAGGCCGTAGATGTGCATTGCTGAAGAGTCCCACAATAGGACGAAAAGGCCGTCCAGTGCTTCCAGATTTTCCATGGTGCTCTATCTTCAATTGACTCGTGATATCTACTGTTGAAATTACTAAATTTATTCATTAAACATTAGCCAATAGTAATAATAAGGTACATATACAAATATACTTTCTCTTTCGTACTATGAAAGTGTTTACTCCTTACTGATTTATTATTTTACCTACTAAAATCACCATCTGAATATGATTGAATAAATGTTTAGTGTAGATTTGAATGTTAAACCTTATAGATTCTTTGATAATTTTGATCATTACCCTAAAGAAGTTCAAACAAGATTGCTGGATGAAAATGTGAAATTATTAATATCTCAGTCTTTGAGATTATTAATCTAGAAGTAATTTACACAAATAATGTCTTCCATATAGTCGTTAACCAATTTCCGTCAAAATAGTTATTCAAATATTGTTCAGCCATGTAGTGGTTACTCATAAGTAATATAAACAGATTAAGTAAATAATGAAGGAATCATTTAACAATAAATATGAGGCTTATTCGTCTAATTTAATCGTATCTACATTACTTATTAATTAAACTTTAAGTTTATAAGATCAATGAATGGTGGGAAATATTTTTCGTCAATAATGCCACACTCTAATATGATGTCACTGCTTTTTGTGTATTTTATGCTTCTGAATCTAAGTAGATAGTACGAATGATTGTTATCGAATAATTGCTATCGAAATATACATATCGCCAATCCTCGGGTATAATCATCGACTTAACTCGAGCTGATGAATGATGGAATTAAATAAGTCGAATAAGAGAATGAATGCTTGAATACGTATATTTCATACAATCATTGATCCAGACAGACAACCAAAGGAACGAAGAGAAGAAAGTGAAGTGAGGAGAGCGAAGCGAAATGATACACGGTTTAATCAAGCGTTAATCAATATTTGTAGTCATACAAAAATAAGTTACGGAGATGTGATGAATAAGATAAGAAATGCACACACACACACACTCATATCAAAATTGCCAAGGTTGATAAGCGAAGAATCAACAAGGACAAAATGTGACTCAAGAAGAGTGAATAAACTATTCTGTCCGAAAGCTAGATTAAGCTGTATGGGCTTAACAAAACAATGGGCATTACAAACCATTTGATTTGCATTTTAACAATAACTTATTTGTTGTTTAATTCTCTTAAATATTCAATCTGTAACAGAACCTATTAATAAAATATTTGTAAAATGAAAACGTTCTATTTAAATGTAGGCGATACTTCTATTTACAGTTGTAATAAAGATTACTATAAGGGTTATATATATATATATATATATATATGGAGGGGGGGAGGAAGGGGGAAGGAGGGGGGAGGTGGAATAGAGTATAGATTAAGAAGAAAACTTATGATTTGGGAAGAACAAAATATTCCAATGAATTCAACTTAATATCAGAATGAAAATAACCATGGTAATAAAATTTATTTTAGTTATTAACTATTATTTATTTGAGATGAAAATAAGAGATAAACTAGAATACACATCAATTCATTAATCTTTGGTATAAATTTTGTTAAGAAATGAAGATAAACGTTTTACTAGTTTACTTTACAAATCTTCACTGGTCAAATTTGAGGAAGAAGGAGAAGAAGAAGAAAAAGCAATTCAGTGGTTTTAAGTTTTTTTTCAGACCAGTATGTAACTTTATTCATTTCAATTAAAGATTTTCATTCTTAAGTCTTTGAACAAGTTAGATAGTGATTAATGTTTCAACCAATAATATAGAAATGTATATTAAGTCAGTTTAGTGAATTATGGTGGATCATGAATATAACAGTTCCAAAAACAATGATAAAGTTATTAGATCCAAAAATTAATGTATTAATATATTGAATATAATCTATACACACATGAAATATATACTGGACATTACTTAAATTGTCAAGAATTGGAGTGGTCGCGTTTCTTTTAGTCTAATAATCTACAATTATAAGTAGTTAATAATTCCAATTTTAATTGTTATAGGTTGAGATGTATATCCAGATGTAATGAGAATATCACTGTTATTTGTAAACGTAGATAGAAAATATATTAATGTTCTAAATTCACTTGATATTGTTTTACTTGAATCTTTCCATTGATGTTTAGAACTACAGTCGGTCAGTCTCTTATTGGCATATGTACATACTATGCGTATGGCCTCGATATTGCCATAATTCAAAAGCATTATATATCCAGTTTTACACACGCTTCGTCCTATTCGGGACTGATCAGCTGGATGTACCTGCATCTCAGAGCTGATGTTCACTCTGGGACTCGAACTCGGTGGAGCGAATTTAAACTTCACTCCATTACACAAGCTAGTGGCTATCAGGGCCCAGTAGATAAGTGGATAATGTGATGGCGCTTCAAGCGAACGATTGTGGGTCCAAATCCCAGAGT